AGGTTTTTACCTTTGGTTCTTGTTGCGACATAAACAACGGGTCAAGGTCCTATCATAAACCTGATTTAGCTTTCTTGGAGTTTACAAATCCCTTGTTGTGTTGTGGGTCTCATAATTCTCTTTGGGGTTCTCATCAGCTTGTAAGCACTTTGAATGCAACTTTGTAATGCTTGCTAACTTTGTTTAAAGTGTGTTCATTTAATTAAGGACAAATCATGCTCTCTTTGCAAAATAGGGAAATATCTTCACATAAGATGGAATGTCAACACGAGAATCCATATGGAACTTCAAAGGGCAAGTTGATGGTCCAATCAAAGAGGGCTAAAGTCTCTTTAGTTTTCTAATTTTTCCTTTTGTCTTTACATTTCTGTTGGTAGGTAAAAATTCTTCTAATCATAGCTCCAAGGCGAAAGGTCTTCAAAAAGCGACATTCTCCGTATTCGCTCAGATCTAAAGTAATCGAAATGTCTGAGGAAAATACTGCTACCAATCCAAAGAAATCAGCCGTGGATGAGAGGGTTGATAAGTTGGAAGCTACAATGCAAACTATGGCTGCTACTATTCAGACTGTCAGTCTCACTTTATACACTTTGACTACTGGTTCGGTTCCCTCACCTGCATCCTTAGTGCCCACAACATCAACTCCACCCGTCATTATTCCGTCGTCTACCATCACACTGGGTAATCATGCTAAGGATCCAATGGTCACACAACTGCAATTTCCACCTATTTATGAGAATCAGCCTCTAATGGGGGAGTCATCTTCACATGATCCACAAATATCATCTCTGCCCTCTGAAGCCTCATACCCACCACTCAAGATGAACAACCCTACCTTGCCCACAACCATACCTCTTACCCTTAACATACCACCTTTGATAGGACAAGTGCCAGCTATTCAACCCAACCCCTCAATTGAGATATTGAGTCCTACTTTGGAGGATGGGAAGTCAAGAGAGGTCGATCACAAGTTGCAACAATTGGAAGAGACTTTGAAAGCTATGCAAGGGCCACAAGTTTATGGTTCTATTGATTTGGATGATCTTTGCTACTATCCGGGAATCCAAACGAATTTCAAGTTCAAGTAGTGAGATTTTGACAAGTATGATGGTTCAGGATGTCCTTATGCCAATGATGTATGCTAGGAAGATGGCACCTTATGCCAATGATGAGAGGGTACTCGTTCATTATTTTCAAGACAGTCTCTCAGGCCCAGAAAGTGTTTGGTTTTTAATGGTTGACAAGAAGAACATATGTTCTTTCAAAGATGTTTCTCAAGCTTTCATGAGGCAATATGAGTACAATATCAACTTGGCCCCTACGAGGGATAGCTTGCAGAGAATTACCAAGAAGAGTAATGAAACCTTCAAGGAATTTGCTCAATGGTGGAGATCCGAAGCAGCTAAGGTCATTCCACCTCTCACCGACAGTGAAATCTACTCTCTCTTTATCAAATCAACTACTGGGACTTTCCGTGCATGGTTAGCTCCTTGTGTGGGATATACTTTTGCTCAACTAGTGACAGCGGGTGAACAAATTGAAGATGGACTTAAGACAGGCATAATCATGGACTTTCAAGCCATCCAAAAATAGTAAGAACAAGTCAAAATGGGCAATGCCGGATCTACTTCAAAAAAGTTTGCACCCAGAGGAAAAAAAGAAGATGAAGAAGCTTTGAGTCATATTTCCACTTGTCATGTGAAACCAGTTTATAATGTGGTAAATATTCCTTATAAGTGCTAACCTCAATTACAATACACCCCAACTTATAAGCCCACCACTTACTCTCAAAAGAGGCCAAACTTTAATGCTCACACTTTGTTGAGGTAGCCATTCCCATCTATGAATAGGTCAAGACAGTTCACTAAGCTTTCAATCCCTTATAGTGAGGCGTTGAAACAATTAGTTGCAGTGGGTTTATTGGAGACAATGCAAGCGAACCCTATTCAACCACCTTATCCATACTGGTATGATCTGCAAGCTAGGTGCGAATATCACAATGCGGTGGGTCATGGTACTGAATATTGTGCAACCTTGAAAATAAAAATTCAAGATCTTATTGATGAGGGTAAACTTCAGTTCGATGTTAATGAAGCCAAGAGCACTTCGAACATCACTCGAAATCCTTTACCCCCTCACAATGCAGGCACAATGAATATGGTCACCCTTGATGAAGTTGAAAAGCTCGTGTTGGAGAATGCCAGTTTTTGGTCTCTTGATGAATTGTTTGTCATTTTGACAAAGTATGATTTGATTCAACCGATTGAACAAATGAGCTTGAATGTTCCACCTGCGATGATTGATGATGCCTTGGTGTGTCCTTACCACTCCAATATGAAGGGTCATACTTTGCAAGATTGTGAAGATTTTCAAAAAAAGGTTAAGGAGTTGCAAGTAATGAGATCTTTGAAGTTTGTATCTGCTCAAGTGTCAGAAAAATGTATAGCACAGTTTGAGGAGGTGGTTGTGGAAGATATCACTGATGAGATCTATTCTGATCATGAGGAAGATAGTTTTGCTTCAACAACCTATTTGGGCCGACCAACATGACAAATCTTAAGGAAAGGTGGAGGAAGATACTCATTGAAAGGGCATCTATGGAGCAGCACCCCAACTTCCATCTTGCAGAAGCTCCAATGGGTTCACACAAGTCTGTGCCTCTTGAATTACTGAAAGAAGAATCACTATGGGAAATTTGACTATGAATGCTCTAGACAAGGAAGGACTGAAATTTGATAACGAAGTTTCACTAGTCAATTGAAGCTCTCAGCCTAATTGGACAGCAGAACTTCTCCATGTAGCTTTCATCTCCAAGTAAGAAGAGTCAACCTCTAGTAGTTCTACTTGTGACTACATGAAGGGAGGGATTCAACAAGCACTTTTAAATTTTTTGAAATTTATGTTATCATGCTTCTAGCATTCCCATGCTTTTCTTTCAATGAAACATGTTGCAATCCTACCTATCTTTGTAAAAAAAAAAAAAAAGTCATTATGATTCAACTTTACTTGAACTTTCATTGTACAAGTCGCTCTTTAATGACATATTTTATGAGGTTATTCAGTAATATGTTCTTACCTTTGCTTTATTATCATTTGGCCAGTTATTTTCTTCCATCCCAAATTTTCAAGCCTACTAATGATGAATCTTTAAACAATGACGCCATATCGGAATTTGTATGTGAGATGGATGATCAGACCTATAATGAAGAAGACAATGAAAAGTCTTGATCCCCCTCATGAGCTAACTCAAATGCTAAGAGAGAAAAAAAACTAAAGTTGCAACCAACTCAAGAGCTAGAAACCATGATCAAGGGACTAAAGATGACAGAAAGGAAATAAAAATCAATACTCAAAAAAGCGGGGTTGATAGTCTCAACTTGTAAGATTGGCAGCTCTTTGTCATGGCCAATGCTATCAGCGATGAATGGCAACTACTTACAACAAGGAGGTCAAACGTAGAGTGTTTCATCAAGGAGATCTCCTCTTAAGAAAGATCATGCCAAATGAAAGGGACCCCAAGGGCAAATTGACACCAAATTATGAAGGGCCTTATGTTGTTAAAGAAACTCTTTCCGAAGGAGCACTCTTCTTGAGATATCCAGATGGGATTGATTATCATCACCTAGTTAATGCCAATGCTATCAAAAAGTATTATTGCTATATATATATATATATAAAGAGAGAGAAAGAGAGTTAGGTTGAAATCGTGAAATGGCGGGCTAACAAATTAAATATTTCCTTGAATTAGAAAGTTGGAGATCCAATGATGAAAGGCCCTGCTTCTCTATCCTAAACAGTTAAACATTGCCTTGTTGCTTACCCCTTTTGAGCCAGAAAAACGTAATCATTCAAATTTATAAAAGCCAGAATGATTTTCTTTCTAGTAACCCACATTAATGACCAGGAAAGTGGAGAGAGAAATGTGAGGGCAATATTTGGGTTTCGATCCTTTTTACTATTCTTTCATCATAACCTAACCCCAAGCCATGTTACAAGCCTATGTATAGTTCTTATTGGACGGTTTAAAGCTTTCTATGTCAAGGGGCATACATTAA